TCCCTGATCTACAGCAGCTGCAGGTTGAAGGACTAACTGCTTTGTATATGCTGACGCTAGGCCATGTGAACCGGTCCGTGTGCTCAATCCATCCATGCTCTGTTCTACTGCTCACACACAGCTAACAATGTATGTCAGCGCTTGGGCATTTTGTGGAAGCGCGATCCGCGGGGCTCTAGGCCTTGGGTTGCATCTACGCCATCTTGGAGACAGCACATCCAATACTTCAAGAGAAATCAGATGCCGTGTATGGTGGGCTCTATATACGCTTGATCTTCGGCTCAGTGTGATGACTGGGAGACCCTCTTTTATCCCCGACAGCCTGTGTACGACACCTCTGCCCCTTCCATTCGATGAGCAAGACTTTGGGAGGGAAGATGTGATGCGGCAGCTTAGGCGCTCGATTGACGGTAGCCCCTGTCCGACGGAAATGCTGTCAACGGACCAGTCGGATTTGAATGCAATGAGCACGGTGGCCGAAAAGCTGGATTCAGAAGAGGACAGATTCTCACCCTGCGGGTCCTTGTACTTTGTTCTTTTGGTGCAACTAACCATGATTGCGAAAGAATCCCTAACCAAGATCTACACCCCGAGCACAGTTCGATCTCCTTGGCAAAGCATTGAGTTCGCCATACACAGCCTCACACATAAACTTGACACATGGCTAAACAATCTCCCCAACGAGTACGATTTCACCCGCACCCAGTCATCGCATGTATCGCTGGAAACGTCAAATCAGAGGCTTAGTCTGGCTCTATTGTTTTACAGCACCAGAATGGGCATCACACGACCATGCCTTCGTCGTGTAGAGTCCTTTAGCGAAGGGGACAAGATGCAAGAGTTCAGTCAGGAAATTGCTGCGGAGTGCGTTGAATCAGCTTGTCACATGTTAAGACTGTTCCCAGAAGAGCTGAAAGCTGCAACGCTATATACAGCGTCACCTTGGTGGTGCTTATTGCATTACTTGATGCAAGCAACGGCGGTACTCGCTCTTGAGCTCGCCTTCCAAGCTCAGCATGTACCGGATAAAGCGCCGATGGTTTCGAAAGCTCTTAATAAAGCGTATGAGTGGCTGTCTTTGATGTCAAGGACACAAAAGACTCCGGAAAGAGCCCGCAGACTCTGTGATCGGCTTTTGCGCCAACTCAAACAACGGGAGGACATCAAAGTCTCTGAGTCTCCTTCTGTCCAGTTGACCAGCCTCGAGTCGCCTGCAGATACACCCCCCATCTCACATCCGATTAGAACAACAAGAGAAAGCTCGGCGGACTCAGACAGTCCACCTCTTGGGACGAAATTGGACTATCAGCAATCACCGGCCTTATTGACCGGCGATATTCATTACCCGTCCCCACACCTCCTGGGAGCGGCAGACGACCTTCCAATTCAAAGTGAGAGCACATTGGAAATTCCGAGCAATTACGACGAGTTCTTTCCTTACGACACAAGTACTGGTCAGCTCACGGGCTCCTTCTTCCCTACAGAGTATGGAATGGATGTGGAACCGAGTAATCTCTACCACTTTTGACAATCCACTCGAGTATTCAACATCAGTGCAAGGCACAAACTCAGAGTGGGGGACTTCTGATAGGCATGCTTGGAGACTGTCCCATCAGCACAATCCTTATCCTTATTCATTCATCAGCATCATAAAGGTGGAAACTGTGTGTGTCTGTGCGCAAGCCGATCATTTCTAATTGGAAATGATACAAATCAATCTTTAGCGACTTTTCAAACTAGGTGAGGTAATTCTATCAAAGGCTGTCACCATGCAGGGCGAGGTCCATGGTGACTAACTACATCTCCGAGTTGGGGTTGAAAGCTCTTCTACTTACCGAGAATAAGCATCATCATCAAAGAGAGTCTGCAAGGCTATACATGTAAGAGGTAGATAGGTCTTATCGTAGCTGGGCATCAATATTTCGATCCCCGTGCCTATATTCAAGCCTCGACCTATGCACTGTGGCAGTAAAGTTTTCAGGCCCATGACAGTAGCAGACGTGGTGAGTATAAGATGTTACTTTTTCTTCTTGCGAGTGTCGATACTCCCATTGTTAATAAGTCATGGTGCCTGCTTAGTAATTCGGATACATAAGTTATTAACCAATCCCACTCATATAATAGCGGAGCTTGTTCATGTCCTTTCGCATTCATCACATTTTGCTTCTTGATAACAAACATTATTGGTTTTGCAGCTGTCCAGTGACATGAGTTATGAGCTACAGCTTCTAATGGAGTCTGTCTCTTGTCGTACAGTTACTAATATTTTTACATAGCATCCTGTGTTGTCGGTTAATATTGATAGCACTACTACCTCTAACCGGCTTTACAACTATCTGCTTCTACCGCAGATAAAAAGCACACTCGCTTTGATGACCCGTGAGATCCACAACAAGATTGGCTTGGAAGGAGACTTTCATTGTAAAACACTTTTCAGGCTGTGGTACCGAGCACGCAGTTCATTGGCATGGATCTGAATGACTCCTCCGCCTCGGTTGAGGCTTCCACACGATATGCTCTAGATAATCCGTCGCTTCAAAACTCCAGGAGAGTCAAACAGCCTCTTGATGGATCTTCGGGTACTCTTCTGGAGCATAATGATCCTCTGCCCTCCAATCGGAGCTCTTCGGGCATCAAGGTCATCCTTTCAACGGGGGACATAGCCATTGAGCACCTGGACCCCGAAACAGTGGCTGCCTCTCCATCCAGAGCTGTAGTCCATCGTTGGCGAGTTTCCAGCAGTGATATCATGCGCAACAGCCCATACTTTAGGGCTCTCTTGGATCCGCACAAGTTCGCGGAGGGCAAGAGCCTGATGCACCAAAAGATCCAAACCCAGCAACTGGCCTCCGAATCTGCGGTTGGGAGCCTAGACCCTCCCGATAGCGAGCAGGCCTGGAACACGGATGAATTACCGGTCGTTCGACTTCCAAGCGATCATTTTTCCTCGCGTCTCGGAACGGATGTCATTGAGCTCTTTCTCGAGGTTCTGTCCTACGACTCATATGATGACGACCAACAGCGGGCGTTTGACGCCAGACTCAGAGTGCAGCCTGTGTCCCTTGTCTCGAGATTGGTGGAACTAGCCGATGCTTTCAACTCACCACAAGCCGTTCAGAAAGCTCTGACACAGTCAGGTTATGCTTTTGGCAAGGGGAAGGTCCCTCTCACCAAGTTCGATGCAGCCTCTCTGTTGAAGCTGCCCGAGGATCGGATCCGCCAGACAATATTCGTGGCTCGATTCCTCAATGAGTACGCCATTGTTCAGGTGTACACCCATACCCTCGTCGTGATGGGGTCGAGATATTGGTCGAATGGCGTCGTTGAAGCTCCTGAAAATCCCACGTTTCCCTGGCGATATCTCGCTGGAGGAATAGAAGGTCAGACATCAACCTCTAAACAAGCACATAGCTTGTCCAAGAAGCAAATCACGTTACTGATCGACAGATCCAGAGGAACTTTACTTTCGCCGACAATGCGTCCTCAACACGATCACCGACCTGCAAGCCCACTTCCTCCGTGCCTACGGAGCTCTCGAAGACGCGACAGACGACGCCTACCCTTCCGCCGCAGCAACAACAACAACATCCACATCTGCAGCCACGACAACCACGACAACAACCCCCCAACCCAGACCCCCGTTCTCCCTGCCTGCCACCTCTACCACCATTCACCCCCGCCACTTCCAATGCCGCTACGGCTTCGCCAACTCCAGCGCCTGCGACGTCTTCCATCTAGGCCAAATGACGCGCTTCTTCGCCTTACGCACCAAGACCATCTTCCTCGGCTCCACTCTCATTGACGACCCGGATTTTCTTCTCCCGCTGGATGATGAAGACCACGATAACGAAGAAGCTGATGACGATGATGCGAACCTCACAGCCGATCACCCACCAACTCCCATCCCACAACAACAACAACACCAAACAAATATAGCCACACTCCTCGCCACCCTCAAACAGTGCCCGGACTACCAGATCGACACCAACCACACGGGCTGCGGCATCCGCCGCCGCTTCCTGCCGCCCCTGGACTGCATCGAGCGATTCGTCGGCGACGCCCGCGGCCTGCTGGGCGTAAATCCAGCGCCACCGTCATCGTCATCGACATCAACCTCCTCCTCGCAGGGTAGTGGCTGGGCCGCGACGACGCGGTGGACCGTGACTCCCGGGTCGTGGGCGAACCGGTCCCTCCCGCGCGCGTTGGTGCTAGATGTGCATTTGTCGCGGATCAATGCCATTCCCGTGCTGGCGCGTGGCGGTGGGAGGAAGGTCGAGCGAGGGGTCCGGGTGGGCAGTTCGCAGGAGGAGAATGCGAGGTTGCTGTTCACGGCGCGGAGGAGGAATTGGGAGGCTTGACTTCTTCTTTCGCCCTCGAGTTCTGCTCCCCACTTCTCCGCTTGATATACTCGGCGACGACAAACGGTCATCTCTGTGGGGTTCGTGGTTTGGACTGTGGAATTTGGGTTATGTTTTGATAGAAAGATTGCGGGAAAGGAAAGGGATGTTGGCGAATTGCGCCTGCCCACTTTTGGGATATATGGTTGGGGGATCACGTCTTGGATAGGTGTACCTCAATGCACTACTAAGTTGGGACACAAGGCAGGGACCCTGCAACGATGTATATACTCCTGGAATAGAAGCTGAGAAACCAAAGTTAGAGAATCAATAACATAATAACATGAATATCTGAAGCAGGCAGACTAGCAGCACAGACCAAGAATTGCCCAGATCCAATGCGCCGGTCTCGCCCTTTCTCTGTGCGCTGAGATACATATAAATCTACTTCTCTTGAGTGTTCAATTTTTGGTTGAGGCTCTTCAAGGAATAGCTTTTGTGGGCATTGCGCTAGACCACCCAAATGACGACCAAATTTGACGTCTGGTCGGTCTGTTAGCCGACCAAGTCAATCACCTGCCCGCCAAACACTACCAATGATCCCTGATCTCGCAGAAGCTAAGTCTCACCTTGATCCTGATCCTACATATGCCGATTTTGTACCGACATCCACAAGATTGATAGTACATCTTATTCGTCTATTGTAACATGTGACTGATTTCGGATAGATAGGTCTGATAGATAGGTGATTATGCTTCTGGTAATGTGCCACAGGATAAATGCAAAGGAAAGACCGGTAACAGCATGATTTTCAGGGCGCTCAACTCCATAATCCATAGGTGCGATAGTGATGCCAACAAGAAAAGTGATGGTGGTAATGTATGTATAAGGACGAGAAGTGAAGGAAAGGTAGATTATTTGGTAAATGTCCAGGAGAAAGATATGTGAAATGGAACACGGAATTGATAACGAAAATTGTGGAAACAGCATGGTGGAGTGTACGCCCTCAAGGCAGAACAACCAAAGGAATGTGCAATATTTGGTAGCTCTTATCTGTATCTGCCTTCAGCTGCAGGTTGCCACGTTCCTGGGCGGTTGTTTCGCGAAGCTGCAGTGCTTTACCAGTGATCTGAAACAATTTGGAGGCTAGCGGGTTGAGGGAATCCAGAGGGAGTGGTGGTTCAGGCATGGGAATGCCATTCTGCTGGTGCTCTTCTTCTTCGTCTTCGTCAACCTCATCCAGCCCTTGACCACTCACTACACTGAGGCGACGGGAGATAGGCGACACCAAAGCAAAATGAGGGACCGCTTCGTCATCATCTGACGAGTATGGACTCAGTTGCTGCTGCTCTTCACCGTAGCCGGAGACGCCCGCACCAAACAAGTCCTTTCTTTGAGAGACCAGGTGCCACGGCTCTCCACACACGAATCCAGCCACGAAATCTTGATTGGCGCGGGCAGCAGCCACGCAACTTTGGCGGTAATCATTGGTGAAGGAACTGGCCGTGGAGGATGGTAGACACAAGACTAACCCACGAGCCATGAGTGGTGGGGGCGGGAAGTCCTCAGGGATGGTCGCGGGGCTCAAGGACCGGAATTCAAAACCACGTCGCTCGTATTGCGGAGATTCCAAAGGTAGCTCGGTGGAGTCTTCGGTGTGTTGAGTGATGGTTTGAGTCAAGGAGATGGTGGAAGCTTTGCGAGGAGGAAGGTCGAGGCCGCTAGTGTTGTCAACGGCGTACTCGGAGAGGTGCTGCGATGTCGCATTTGCGTCATGGTCGCTGAAAGAGTGATGGTTGGCGTTATTGTCTGCTGTGATTTCGGTACGAATGGTCTGAGCTGCATCTGCTACTGCCTCGCGGGCGGCCGCCTTCAAAGTAGGAATCAGAATGTCGGCTTCCTGGTTATACACAGCCACGCCGGAGGCCCACGCTGTCGAAAGGCCAGCCCACGAGGCCGGCTTGATGATACCCTTCGTATACTTCTTGCGAATCATATCAACAGTCTCATTCCGCACCTCTCTCGTCTCTGCTTTCTGTCCACCTACAATGTCCACTGTGGAATTCAAGATCCGACCGCCCTCCCAGATCAAGAAGCCATGTCTCCTCGCTAGGGCAACCAATTGGCGAACCGTCTCCTCCGACCAGTCATCAATGATGTCTGCATAGACTTGTAGAATAGCAATATGCGGGCCAACTAAAGTGGCTAGGTGCAGGAGAGTGTCGGTGTTGGTGACGGTATGCGAAGGCGAGACGCAGACGGGAAGTCCGTAAGGCAGATATGACTTAGATTTGACCAAGGTCTCCAGATAGGCGACGATCCGATTGCCCGGATATGAAGGAGAATCCAGCGACGAGTCCATCATTGCTGGTGAGCACTGTTGCAGAGGAGTTTGGAGGGAGAGAAGAAAGGTGTTTTGGTTATGTTGTACTGTACGGGAAGGGGAAGTGACGGTGTGGATATGATATATAGACAGCACACAACAGAAGAGACGGATAGATCAACCGTCAACAGACAGACAGTCAGTCAGTCACAAGTAAATCAATTGGGTCGTACAGGAGGGCGGAGACGGGGTAAGAAAGAGAGAAGAAGGGGAGGAGAAGGAGGAGGAGGGGAGGGGAGAGAATGACAGGAAGGGGAGAAGAGGAGGAGGAGGAGGAATAGGTAAGGTTAAGTTGGTGGTGCCTTTGTTTTTTATTTTTTATTTTTCGCCTTGCCTTGAACTTTCAGTCAGGCTCAGGGAGCTGGGCCAACTTCCGGAGTCGTCGTAGCTTGGTTGTTCCCGTTGAGCTACGGAAGAAGAGCTTCGGGGCTAAAGTGACTCCAACCCACTCGAGTCCCTTGACTGGTCGACTTGGTCGAGACAAAATGATTGACAATCGAGTCCCATCCCCACTTGGCCTGCCAATGACCAGACTAGTAGTCACTCGACATGATCAGTCGACAGGGGTTGGGAAGGACCTTTTTTTGTTCGCTCTTGATTTTCTCTATTTTCTTTAATTTATTTGCTTTTTGTCCCTGGTCTGATCGGATAATGGCTCAGATCTCAAACCATTAACTTATGTTGTGGTGGTTGACAGAAACACAACAGCGCATCGGTAGGCAAAGGTACGACAAGAAGAAGATGAAAGAGACAGGGTGAAATTAAAGGCTGGACGGGCCATGCAGGAAGCCACAATCCCTCTCTCAGCTGCAGCCATGGATCTACTGCATGTACTTCGTACAGTATCTATGTACAGTACTATATACTATGTGCTATGTATGCATGAATGGGTCAATGGATCAATGGGTGAATGGGTGAAAGGGTGAATGAGTGAATGGGTGAATAAAGCCTGGAGGACTGGACTGAAGGAGTAGTACGTATGAATGGAGGAGGGGAGAGAGGGGGGAGAGAGGGGAGAAGTGGAGGATGGAGGGGAGAAAGAATGGAAAATGAGGGGATTGTCACCAGTCACCCCTCCGTACCGAGTACGTACTCGACTCGTACCTACAGTAGGTACCTCAGACTCAAGGCCCTTTTTTCCCGTTTGTCCGGTACCGGATGGTAGTAAGTTGGAGAGAAGCTTTCTTAGGTTTGGGCACCTGTGAAGATCCTAAAGAAGTACTGTACAGAGTGGTAGGTGAATTATACTAGTACCATGTCAAGTGTCAATCACATTGAGATATTGATATTGACTGATTTTTCTGAAGTCCTCTTTTTGACTTCTCAACCCTGATTCTCAAGTTAGCAATACACTACATAACTACAGTACACCTGTAGTCTAGCACATACGGTAAAGTGCAGTGGAGTCCTGCATTGCCCCATCATCACTGGGGGGGGGCCCAACCCGCTTTGTCGGAACGAGCGATCCGACTGGGTGGAAATAATAATGCGTCGCTACGATTTCCCATATCCAATCTCAATTTCTCTTTTCTCTCCAACCCCCAATACTTCAGGTTGCTTGTACTGACTACGGAGACCTACTGAGGCATCTGGACTCCCCCCCCAACTCAGTAGGAGTCCTAGACTCCTCTTGGGCTTACTTTACCTTTTCCACTCATCGCTTGAGCCTGCAATCTCCCTCCAGCCTCTCTATCCTATATCATCACCCTCCACATCTCCCACACCACCCACCTCCTCTCATTTGCTCTCCGGGTGTCCAATGGACTGAATCCAACATCCCGCCCCATCGTTAACAATTTCCTTGGTTGAGCTTGAAGACTACTTGAGAAGTACCGTAGGACAATGATAGTCGATCGAAACTTGGTATCCACTGAAAAGACCTTACTCGGCCTACCCTACCTTGACATCCGGTCATCTGCGAGCAATCCTCTCTAGCTTCATCTTGGCGGTCGATCCTACCATACAAGCCCGGGGAGCAGAGAGCCTCGTTCAAGTTGTCAACGAACAACAACCCATCATGACAGGGCAGGATCCATCTTTCCCGGAATCCAGGATTCCATGTCATACCCTTCCTGCTCCTTGACCTGGTAGAGCTCAGAGCCCCCAGTGCCCCATGATCCATCAACTGCCGGGATTCATTATGATGAGTCCTAGTGTCCTCGATCTGTCTGAGCGCTCTCTCTTCCAGTCAGACGCTTTGACATTTTCCAAGGCCATGGTGCAGGTTCCTGGACGAAACATGCATAGCCTTATAGATCCAACGCATGAAAGCGACCAGGATGCGCTCGCTCTATAGCCTAGTCCCTCGGCAATTTCGAACGCCTCAATATCGGATGGTTGACTAGCCTAATAATTCTGACGCCTAGTTCGTATGGTCCTTTCGTCGTCGGTCGGAAGCTGATGCTTACGGATACACTGGCCGAGACTGGTCCGGCGAACTGGGGCGAGGGGAGAGGCCTGTCGATCAGCCCATCTTCGGGATTGTTTCACGGATGCGCCCCTGCCCCCCCGTTCAAGGACGTAAGGATCAGGATAGTGAATTTCGCTGTTTGCTATCGCATTGCATCAAGCAGATAAACGACTTTCCGCGGGACAATATTCCGTATCTTCCACAGACTGTGTTACGCTACAGAGCTCGAGCGGTCGCTTCTTGTGCTCTGACCTCCGTAGGTACATGTAGTGTACTTTTTTGCGATCGCACCGCACCGCACCGTATCCGATAAGCTATAGGATCAGTCTAACGGTCCCAAATTAACACCACTCATTAGCTCCAGGTCATTCATACCGTTCACTTTCGATGTTAATCTAGCTTCCGATGCTGTTCCGAATAAGGTAGATCATTGCTTCGTATTATTACATAGTACTATTTGAAAGGCGGGACCACTTGAAGACTAAACATTGAACAATGAACATTGACTTTTGCTCTCCGCAATATGCACACTTTCAGGCCAGCTGCTAACTTATGTACAGCATTGTAGACGGTAGTCGACGGCTGAGACGGCCCGCTGGCTGATGCTGGCTTAATGTTGTTGCCTCAGGCACAATGATCAGGCTTAGAGCAGGGCACACTTCAGGGGCAGCGCCCGAAGGAGATTAGTGCCACCCTGCATTATTGTTCCCGACTTTGATTTGGGTCTGCCGGCGAGCGCTGGAATCTCCCTTCTCATACTCCGTTCCCTGTGAAAGAAACAAGAGCCAGTATCTTTCTTTCCAAATCCCGTCTTTCTCTACTCCGTTGCGATACGGTTCCGGTGTTGTATAGCTTTGTTGATTGCGTGGTTGTCGCCGCACTTGCCAGTGGACTCACCTTAAGGAATTTTTTCCCCCCCCCCGGAGTCTCGGACCCGTCGCCTTGGTCGATATTTTGACGCTCACGCCACTCACTTCACCGTCCTTTTATTATCGGCTCCCACCGCGATTCCCCGCTACTCGTCCAAAGGCATTCGTCGCATTTGCAGTGTCTGTGGTTACCCTTCCTCGCCCAATTGCAGTATCTTTGCCTCAGTCCCTTCGGGTATCAAGCTGTACATCCGCCATGCCTGGAAAGGTACTCCCCGTGTTCACCCCGGCCGAGATCGAACTCCATAACAACGCCAAGTCATGCTATGTGACGTTGGGATCCAAAGTCTACGATGTCACTGAGTTTGTGGACGGTCACCCCGGGGGTGAAGACCTCGTCCTTGAGTATGCCGGCAAAGACGTAACTGAAATCTTGCGCGACGAGTCCTCCCATGTCCACTCCGACTCGGCTTATGAAATACTGGAGGAGTGCCATATCGGCTTTGTGGCTTCTGAATTCAATGGGAAGGCTCGAACGGTTGATGCATCACAAACACTGCAAGTGGCGAATGGTTCTGGAGCAGTCTATGCCACGACCGGGATGTCCTGTGAAGAAGACCTGTCTGTCGATACAGACTATACCCAAGACTTCCAGACGCACAAGTTCCTCGACCTTAGCAAGCCCCTTCTCAAACAACTTTGGCTTAGTGGCTTCAGCAAAGAATTCTATCTTGAACAGATTCATCGCCCGCGTCACTACAAAGGAGGGGAGTCTGCGCCCTTGTTCGGCAACTTTCTGGAGCCACTCAGCAAGACCGCATGGTATGTCGTCCCCATCATGTGGCTCCCGCCTGTCGCCTACGGCACCTTTGTTGGGTTTTCGGGGCTTGCGAATGCGCCTGCTGCTGCTGGATACTGGGTCGGTGGGCTCTTTCTTTGGACTCTAATCGAGTATCTGATGCATCGATTTCTGTTCCACATTGATCAGTATGTCTATCCCAGTTGACACACGCTTATTTCTGTACATCCCCGCTAATTCATGCAGCTATCTTCCCGACAATCGTGTTGGACTGACTCTCCACTTTTTGCTCCACGGTATTCATCACTACTTGCCGATGGACAAGTATCGCTTGGTCATGCCCCCAACTCTTTTTGTTGTATTGGCAACGCCATTCTGGAAGCTTGCTCATGCTGTCTTCTTCTACAATTGGTATGCTGCTTTGACAGTGTACTGTGGCGGTATCTTCGGCTATATCTGCTACGACATGACCCACTACTTCCTTCATCACCGCAAGTGAGTAGAACGACCTCCTTTCGTGACTTGGATCGTTTCGCTGATCATTCGCTTCTCTAGTCTTCCCATGTACTACAAGCAACTTAAAAAGTATCATCTTCAGCACCACTTTGCAGACTTTGACAATGGCTTTGGTGTCACCAGCCGCTTCTGGGATCAGGTGTTTGGCACGGAGCTGGAGACTCCCGCCCTCAAGGGTGCGAAGGCCCAGTGAATAAGCCAATGGTATACTCTAGAGTGGCTGGCCCTCTTCATGGGCCATGACATAAGCTCATTGCGTCTTTTATTGATTCCGTGACATAAGCTCATTGCGTCTTTTATTGATTCCGTGACATACGAAGTAATGCCGTGGTCGTGTGTTGTCCCTAATATCGCTTTGCTCAGGAGTTGGTTTACTTTCTCATCCTTTGTCACTCTGCTTCGTGTACAGGTTTGCCTCGGACCAGAGCAATGGAAAACGTCTTTTGTAAGGCGAATGACCATGACTCGTAGGTCGACCGGCGGTGGTATTATTACATAGATTCTCACGATTGTATATGATAACCTAATACATAATGTCTCTCTTCAAATCTCATTTCCTCTGTCAATTC